ATTTATATCCTAATCTAACAAGTCTACAAATAATTTCAACAAAATTTTCTTAAGTGAAAACTAAGGTTCAAGGAACATTAGCTATTCAAAATTAAATATCACGAAACCAATTTCAATATTAATTACATCTAAAGAGCATAAAACAATATTACATAAGACAATAATAAAAAAAAAGTATGATACATCTTTCTTTCTTTTTTTTTATATTATTTTTAAGCAAGAAACGTCTTCGGTTCCGTTTTCCTAAGCATTCGTAAATTCTCAAAAAAAATAAAAAATAATCACAACATGCATCACAGATTGATATTACATAATAATAACATGCGATTCAAAGAACTTCATATTATTGGAATCGAGTTTTCGTACAAGTACTCTATTTAACTCATGCGAGGATTTAGAGTTACCTCGCTGCGAAAATTAATACCACAAAAACAACTGCTACGATCTACTGATTTCCAAAGTTAATAGCTAATATTAACTTTAAAGAGCCACGAATCCGAAACCTTGAGTGAAACCTTGAACGCTGACTTGATTTTTCAAAATAAAACTCACTTTTTGTTATCTTTTTTTTTTTCTCTGTGTTTCTATGTATCTCTGTATGTATGCCTATATTTTTTCTTTACTGAGCGTATGTTTTTTATAATAGTTTGGGTTGTGAGTCTGGTGCTAATTAAAAGGAACGTGATGGAGTGGGAATAGGATTTAATTTAAAATTTAGTTGAGAATTTTAGGATTGAGATAAAGGAAGAAAAATAGTAATATAATATTAACAAACAAATAATAAAAATAAAAATAAAAATAAAGAAAGAACGAACAGAAAAGAAAGAAAAGAAAAAAAAGAAACGTGTAAAAAAAAAAAAGAGAAAAGATCGTGCAAGAGGAGAAAAAAAAATAGAAGAAAAAAAATAAAAAATAAAAAAAACTAAATGGGAGGAGGATTTTTAGCAAATAAGTTAAGGAAGTTGGGGGTAATTAGGATAAAGGTAAGGTAATTTGAATTTTTTAGGACTCTTCTTTTTATCTTTTATTATTTTATTTTTTTACTTTTCCATGATATATACGACTATTTTTTTTTTTTAGACTAGATAAAAGTTGAAAGGGTAAAACAAAATATGTTAAATTCAAAAGCTTTCTTTATTAAACTTTAAATATAAAGTGAGCTTATAATTTGTTGTAATTTTCAGTTATTTATTTTTCATTTATTTTAAATATAACCCTGCTGAAATATTAAAATTGGGTGTAGAATCTTTATGTTTTGGTCAAAAATTAGGTGTTCACAGTATGCCCCTCTTTGCTTGGAAAAACGTGAAGAGTTTTCATGCAAAGACGTGAACAATGTGACTAATTTTTTACTGAGACATTGATCCAAAAATGTGAAAATAAATAAAAGAGAAGAGGTTTGACCACGCCCTAACTTTAGACAAACTACCTATCATGAGTTAATGATAAGGAATCAGGTGTAGTTAATATATAGGAAGGGACGGGAGAATAATTTTAGGTAGTCGAGTGAGGTTTTGTCAAGGTTCTGGTTCATAGCTCCAGCTGTTATATTAGAAGGAAAAATACAATAGGAGAGAAGGGAAAGATACAAGATCATATCTACTCCACTAGTACTGAGTCTTCATTTTGAATCTTCGGTTATCGCTTCACCCTCTTTGGGTAAGTACATCGATTCCGAACTTTCATCTTGATATTTGAATTCATGATCTGAAACTTATGATTTGACTTGAGTTGTTGACGCTCTTCCGCATGATATTCTTGAATGCTTGTTTTCTTGAGAAGATGATTCATGATATGTTGAGCCGTTACATGGGTTGAAAGCGACTCTAAATGTCATTGACATCTGACATTCTTCGTTTCTCTAACCAAAATGAAGATTTTATTCTTGAACTTCAAATTGGTATACTATGTAGATGTCTGCACGCCATAAAACAAAACAAACAAAAGAAACAAAAATTTTGCCCCAGTATGCACTAGGAAAATTTTTGTGAGTTATTGATGAAAGCTACTAGGCTTTATACTAGGCATAATAATAATATACTTTTATAAAATAAAATAAAGGGAAATTTGTGCCCAATATAACCAGAGGCAATTATGCCCTGTGAAGTCATAAAAAATAAGATAGGAGTTATTGTGCCCTACACGCAACCAGGGATTATTGTGCCCTGTGAAGGGGTTATTGTGCCCTATATGCAACTAGGGATTATTGTGCCCTGTGAAGACATGAAAAATAAAATAGGGGTTATTGTGCCCTATATGCAACCAGGGGTTATTGTGCCCTGTGAAGACATGAAAAATAAAATAGGGGTTATTGTGCCCTATATGCAACCAGGGGTTATTGTGCCCTGTGAAGACATGAAAAATAAAATAGGGGTTATTGTGCCCTATATGCAACCAGGGGTTATTGTGCCCTGTGAAGACATGAAAAATAAAATAGGGGTTATTGTTCCCTATATGCAACCAGGGGTTATTGGGCCCTGTGAAGACATGATATATGCAACCAGGGGTTATTGTGCCCTATATGCAACCAGGGATTATTGTCCCCTGTGAAGTCATGAAAAATAAAAATAGGGTTATTGTGCCCTGTGAAGATATGAAAAATAAAAATAGGGTTATTGTGCCCTATATGCAACCAGAGGTTATTGTGCCCTGTGAAGATATGAAAATAAAAATAGGGTTATTGTGCCCTATATGCGACCAGGGGTTATTGTGTCCTGTGAAGATATGAAAAATAAAAATAGGGTTTATATATATGTGTTTTTTTTTTTACTTTAGATTATTATTATTATTATTATTATTAGTAGTATTATTATTATTATTATTATTATTATACTTAAGATCATTTATTTTATTTTTATTTTTTGTACATTTTCCAAACAGAAAAGAAACAAAAAAATAAAAATACAAATTAAAAAAAAAAAAAATGCCCCAGATTTTATTAAGAAAAATAATCTTTTTTTATTGTTATTATTATTATTATTATTGTGGTGCATATTGTAGGAGAGACAGGGATTCAAGAACTTACCTCGTGGCGTTTGACTCTCGCGAATTACTTGCACGATTTTTCTTTGTACCTATTTTGAAACAAAGAATATTTTGTTAGTTTTTCTAAATGGTGGTTGGTTCGTGGCTTCGAATATCTTGTGGAGTTTGACTTTGAATGTGTCTTGGTTGAAAGAATCATCATATTGACGATTGCGCGAATAGCTTGAAGATGCTTTAGAGACGGTCCCTTGTCTTCCCTTGAACACTTCTTATGAACATTTTGATCCATTTCCATTTTGTGCACGTTGTGTGGTTCATCCTTTCCAAAGCAACTTTCTTGCTTTACTGATTTTTCACACGGTATCGATTTTTGACATATTTTTTCTCGATTGGTTCACAGCCCTAGTCAATGTTGTGCATGCCCCCAACATTCAACTGGAAATACCGTAGTCAATTTTGCGACTTTAATTTGATTTTCTAACTTGACACGAGTTTACGCTGAATGAGACTCAAAGAATACCGAACACAAGTACAAATGACACAAATGAAAGGGTTATGAAAAAAAGTTATGTCTTTAGAAGGAGGAAATAAGTAAATGTTTAAAAGGAATGAAAAGAATCTTATCTGAAAGTACGTGACCACCTTAATGAATCATGACACGCATTTGGATAGAACATTTGATCGTTCTAAGTTGTCCGAATCTCATGAAACAATGTTGTACCTTTCAGTCTATAGCTTGACTTCTATCTTGATTGTACTCATGCCAAGACGGAATGTCATCATCTGATCAATGGTGCCCTTCATGGTTTCCACCAATAAGATATTCTTATCTCTTTCTCTCAACTTACTATCGTCTTATGGTGCCCGTGAGGGTTTTCACTCGTAAGACTCTCTCATTTCCTCTTTTTTTTTCTTTTTTTTTTTAATACACCGTAGGTCACAATATCTTGTCTCAGCCCTAGGAAAATTGAAGAACATGATTATTGTTTTATTCAGTGATTAGACCGAACCCCAATGAAGGGCTGCCTACGTATCCTCTTAGGAATCAGGTCAAACGTAGTTCAATGAATTTTTTTTTTCCTTTTTTTTTTTTTTTTTTCTTTTTTAAGCACCAGATAAGTGGTGCTTGAAATAAAGGAGGATACATTTTTTATCCTCTCATCTTGAGAATGTCAATCACAAGAGTGCCATAACAAAGAGTGTTAGACGTAGTATCTTTTGATCGAATCTGCGTAAACAATTGTGTCGATCTCCTTTCCCTCCATATCTGCCAGTTGCAAAGCTCCTTTTGATAGCACTTGTTTAATAACATAAGGGCCTTTGCCAATTTGGGGCAAACTTTCCTTTGGCCTCGTCTTGATGGGGAAGGATGCGTTTCACAACAAGTTGACCGACTTCAAAATTTCTTGGCCGTACCTTCTTGTTACAAGCTCGAGCCATCCTCTGCTGATATAATTGACCAAAGCAAATTGAGGTCAGCCGTTTTTCGTCTATCAGTGCTAGCTGTTCTAACCTTGATTTAACCCATTCTGTGTCCTCAATTTTTGCTTCGACAATGATTCGAAGAGAAGTGATTTCAACTTCTGCGGGTATGACAGCCTCAGTTCCGTAAACCAATAAGTAAGGAGTTGCACCAACTGACGTACGAATAGTCGTGTGATATCCCAAGAGAGCAAATGGTAGTTTTTCATGCCACTGTCTAGATCCTTGCACCATTCTCCTAAGAATCTTCTTGATGTTTTTATTTGCCGCTTCAACAGCCCCATTGGGTCGATAAGGGGTTGAATGACGATGAACAATTTTAAATTGCTCACAAACTTCCTTCATCAGGTGGCTGTTGAGATTCGCTGCATTATATGTGATAATGATTTTCGGTATGCCAAAACGACATATGATGTTTGAATGAACAAAGTCCACCACTTCTTTCTTGGTGACTGATTTGAATGTGACAGCTTCCACCCATTTGGTAAAGTAGTCGATGGCAACTAAAATAAACTGATGCCCATTAGATGCTTTCGGCTCAATCGGCCCAATAACGTCCATTCCCCAAGCCACAAAAGGCCACGGAGCAGACATAGGGTGCAACTCTAAAGGGGGTGAGTGAATCAAGTTGCTATGAATCTGGCACTGATGGCACTTGCGAACAAATCGAAAGCAATCTCGCTCCATGGTCAACCAATAGTACCCTGCCCGAATAATCTTTTTTGCTAGAACGTAACCATTCATGTGAGGGCCACAAACCCCTGAATGCACCTCATTTATAATATTTTATGCTTCTTGAATATTCACACATCGCAATAGATTCAAATCTGGAGTCCTTTTATATAAGATATCGCCACTAAAAAAGAACCCATTGGCGAGTCGCCTAATAGTTCTTTTTTCATCTCTATCAGCATGTATTGGATATTCTTTAGCCTTTAGAAATCATTTAATGTCGTGATACCAGGGCTCACCGTCTGGCTCTACTTCAATTATATTGCAATAACCATGTTGATCCCTAACTTGGATTTCCAACGGATCAATATAGGTATTACCCGGGTATGGAAGCATCGAGGCTAAGGTGGCCAAAGCATCAGCTAACTCATTGTGAAACCTGGGAATGTATCTGAATTCAATAGACTTGAACCTTTTGATGAGGTTTTCTAAACATTGTTTGTACGGCATGAGTTTAATGTCTCGAGTCTCCCATTCGCCTCGAGCTTGTAGAATGAGCAAATCAGAATCCCCCAAAACCACCAACTCATGCATATCCAGATTTATTGCCATATTCAAACCCATGATGCAAGCTTCGTATTCTGTTGTGTTGTTGGTAGAAAAGAATCGAAGTCGTGCCGTGGTAGGATAATGGCATTCGTTTGGTGAGATAAGAACTGCCCCAATTCCTACTCCATTTTTGTTGACAGCCCCATCAAAATATAATTTCCACACGTGACCATCATCAGGAATTTCTTCCTCAATAGAGTTGATTTCTTCATCAGGGAAGTATGTCCTTAGGGGCTCGTATTCGTCATTGACCGGATTCTCTGCCAAATGATCGGCCAACGCTTGTGCTTTCATGGCGGTGCGAGTGACATAAATAATATCAAATTCCGTAAGCAAAATCTGCCATTTTGCCAACCTACCTGTTGGCATGGATTTTTGAAAAATATATTTCAAAGGATCCATTCGAGATATAAGATAGGTCGTGTAGGACAAAAGATAGTGTTTCAATTTTTGGGCAACCCAAGTCAAAGCGCAACAAGTCTTTTCTAACAGAGTGTACTTTGCCTCATAACTTGTGAACTTTTTGCTCAAATAATAAATGGCTTGTTCATTTTTCCCCGTAATGTCATGTTGTCCTAAAATGCAACCAAATGAATCATCCATCACTAAAAGATATAAGAATAACGGCCTACCAGGTTCTGGTGGGACCAGTACCGGAGGGTTTGCTAAATATTCCTTAATTTTGTCAAAAGCCTCCTGACACTCACTTGTCCATTTGATAGCAGCGTCCTTTTTCAACAACTTGAATATCGGCTCACATGTGGCGGTGAGTTGAGCAATGAACCTGCTGATGTAGTTTAACCTTCCCAGAAAACTCATGACTTCAGTTTTGGTTTTTGGAGGTGGCAATTCTCGAATGGACTTTATCTTAGAGGGGTCCAATTCAATGCCTCTTCGACTAACTATAAAACCCAAAATTCTGCCAGATGGAACTCCAAATGCACATTTAGCTGGATTAAGCTTGAGGTTGTACTTTCTCAATCTTTCAAAGAATTTTCTTAGATCACGTACATGGTCGGCTTGTGTTCTAGATTTAATGATGACATCATCGACATATACCTCAACTTCTTTATGCATCATGTCATGGAATATGGTAGTCATAGCTCTCATGTAGGTTGCTCCAGCATTCTTCAGACCAAATGGCATGACTCTATAACAATATGTACCCCATGGGGTGGTGAAAGTAGTTTTTTCTGCATCTTTTTCACCCATGAGAATTTGGTGATATCCGGCGTAACAGTCCACAAAAGATTGAATCTCGTGTTTGGCACAATTATCAACTAGGATGTGAATGTTTGGTAATGGAAAATTGTCCTTTGGACTTGCTTTGTTTAGATCTCTGTAATCAACGCAAACTCTGATCTTTCCATCTTTCTTTGGCACTGGCACAACATTAGCCA